CATAACATTTTAAACATTTGTTTTAAATTGTTTTAAAAAAAAGCATGTGTAATTTAATCTGATGTTTAAAACATGTTTTAAACATTTGTTTAAAAAAAATTTTTTTTACAAAACAACCATGATCTACGTTTATTCTTTAACAAGTTTATAACCTCATTTTTAATGCGAGTTAACAAGACTTGGTAAAACACACAGTCTCGAGCTTGTGCAATTTTTGGCAAAAACTTGGTTGAATTGTTAGAATGAAAAAGAAACGTGCATTCAATTAAGTCATGATGTTACAAATGAAAATTACCTAAGCTTTAGTGTGGAAATGGAAAGCAACTCCGGATCCTCGTACGGGAAACAAAGCGACACCGAACGCTGATTGATGAAAAACGGGTGATGAGAGTAAATTTTACCCCTACAACCAGCTTTCCAATCAGCGCTCTGTGTCAAAGTGCTGTTGTCTGAATGAGGATAAATTTATTTCCCTGAGAATTTATGCAAGGATTAGTTTGTTTATGCAGATGCGATTAATCCTGTTTATTATCAAATTCTTCTTACAAATTTTATATTATTCAATTTTTAAAAAGTGTGTACAAATGAGAATAATTGCGATAATTCACCAAGACGTAATCTAGCAGTTGCAAATATTAAAGCTGACATAATAAAAGGAATAGGTTTAAACACACAATAAAAGGAATAATTGAATATATGTTCAATATATTAAATAAAATAAGGAATGTTACATGTGTTTTCCTTATTCAATATGTTGGATAATTATTCATTAAACTAATCGATGTTAGTGAAATCGGTCCAAAGTGACGATTGCATCACCTGAAATACAAGATAGTTTAGTTCTTAGTAACTAACACCATAATTAAAGAAAAAAATAAAGAAGTAAGGGAAACACAAAGAGTATATTAAACAAATTTATTATAAATGTATATAATCTTTTAAATAAAATTATTATAAATTTTATATTAATAAAATATATGTATAATTATTATTATAAAATTTATAATAAAAAATTATAAATTTTATATAAACTATGAAATAAAAATAAACATTTATCATTAAACATCATAAAAATAAACATTTATCACAAATTAAAATGTTTAAATCACAATACGTAATGATGCATTGCCATGCTCTTATTAGAATAAGTTATATTTTTTATCAGGTATTTTTTTAAATAATAATCTCATACGTAATGTATAGTATCGTCAAATAATTTTAGTTTTCGAACAAGGTAGTTTTGTGACAAGGTGGAAAAGAGAATGGTATATCTTGGCAGATTTCCATAAAAACTTTCTTTAAGTTGCCACTTTCTTTGTGATTGCTCATATATTCTTGAAATATTCGAAACTTTGTCTCAATTTGAATGAAAAAATGTAATGTTGTTGCATTAATAAAAAATAAGATATTATTTTGACGAGCTCTAATGTACTATAGTAATAAAAATTTGCATTTTTATTTCCTGTTGCAAACATATATGCTTTGCATTTTCGTTTTTGAAAATATTTATTATTATTATAAATAACTAGATACATAGTGCAATTTGTTTATGTTTGTATTGTTTAAAGTAACAGTACGTGTTTTGAAGAATTGTTACCTCGGATCTACAATAGATTTTTAAGCCTTAAGCCACAAAGAATGGATCATAATTATTGGGTCATTTAAAAAGTATCCGCGGTTTTTTGTCACTAGATAGTGTTGATGGTCAACTCCATCTAGTGACAAAAACCGCGGATACTTTTTAGATGACCCAATATTTATTCTCCTCGCATTCGACTGTAATTAGTCAATTTCTTATGGACTTAAGACTTAAAACACCTGTTGTAAATCTGGACTAAATCTCTGTGCGAGATTTAAATTGCTGATCGAATTGTATCATGTGTACCTTGAAGTACGGTTTTGTATGACACATAAAAATTCTAAAAGATACTTTTGATTATCTTCTTAATAACTACTGTCTTTAATATCTTTTATAAATTGAGAAATACTAATTAATTTTAAATTTCTTAAATTGAATTTGAAATTATGTTTTTTCTTCTGATAGCAGAAAATAGTTTTTTTAAGTATCTTGAGTTAAACGTGATGTTAAAAAAAAATAGAAAATCACAATCATTTAAGATATTGTGATAAATCAATTACAGTCAAATCATGGTTGATAAAATTACAGCACCTTAGAACGGTTTCCAATGACCTTTATCTCCTATAGCTAAATCTCTGAATATTATTACTTTATTAAGAAAATCTATAACTTCTTGAAACTTTTCTTTTTAATTTTTAATTTACTTAAAACCAATGATAACTTTCGGTTAATCATTAAATCAAACCATTGCTTACAACTGAAATAAACCACGTAGTACTTTGACGTTCATCTTTTAGATTGTTACATAAAAATCGCAATGCCGAACTAACTTGATAGCTCATAATGCTCATAGCGTAAGATACTTTTATTTTTTAAAAATAGAACTTATTTCTCTTTACGTAGTCTTTCTTAACTTTTGAAGCTAATTTTATATCACAATTTTCATCTTCTTTTATTACGTCACATCAGATAAGTATGAAGCTCTAACATCACAGGTTGGCAGATTATACTTGTCCACGACATATTGCGATATTTTGAACATTTTATTCAGCAGAAGACCGCAAACAATATTTTTTAATGCATGCGGATCATCTGAACAAAAGTATAATTTGCGATTTGCATCGCAAACATGTTGGCAATAATGATTAATCTGTATTCGCAATATTTTTATGCTGAATTCCTTCCACATTGTTAGTATCCATATCTGAGACAGCTTGAACTGAGAGGCCAATATTTTCCGCCTTTGAAATAATTTTGATTACTATAAATTAATTTCAAAACATTTCCTGCGGTCGTTCCTGTAAAATAATATGCCACTATTTGCTTTCATCTACTAGCCAATCCAGCTAATATAAAACACAATGCATGAATTGCAGTATTCTTTTGTTCCTTCTCTGATATAGTTCCGATATATATTGTCAGTACTGGCAGTACTGAAAAATTGTTTCGTTATTAATATGCAGCGCGCTGCGATTGCGTCTAGTTCCCTCAATGACATCATAAATGATAGCCATATTGCTACTGCGACTACTGCGGCTTTCGAAATGAGGTTACAATGCAATATGGCATCGCTTAAAGAAGCATAACGCGTCGAAATATTCGATCCAGGAAATAAAAAAATATATACATTATATTTAACTGCAGAAAAGATGCACATATATTCATGTTACCAAAAATGACTCTTAAATTCCACATCTAAATAAGTATTCATTAACTGTGTCCATTATCACGAGGTCAAACTGTTTGAATTGGTAATCCCATAATTAATTCATCTTCTTTGGAAGAACTATCGCTGCTGTTTTTGTTCAAAATTTATTGACAATTTAGTAGGTTTATCCATATCTGTTTACATTACTGCCAGTCTACTGCAAAGTCGTTTCGAAATACGATGTTACAGTAGTGCTGGCAGTATCTAAGTAATTTTGGAACGGCTGCGGCAGTGCACTGTTGTGATGTCATGATGGTTGCACTGCCAGTAAAAAGGGAACACACCTATTATGACATGTCCATATTCAGTACTGGAACTATGGTCGTAAAATTTCCCCGAAATAATGGATATTTCATCCAGCACTAACACACATTTATCTGTTTGTTTTTTAAATTGAGAAACTTTAATCTTTAAAAATGGAGAAATTTTCTCACTTATTCCACTATTAAATTTAAAATTTTCTACTCTCCTTCTTAAAGTTCTAATATTTTGTAAAGAAAAATTTTGGTGTAATAGTTCATTGTATCCCATCGTATCACATGCAAACTTTAGTGAATAAGCTCTTACTAGAGTTTCCTTACACCAATGCGGTATTTCTCTTATAATCATTAAAAAGCAATTTTGTCTGACTTTTATTAAAAATCTTTGACAAAAGGCACTTCATTTTTTAAACGCTTCAATTCCTTCTTCATAGTTACAAGCTTTTTTCTCATTTTAACCCTCAACTGTTCACTTCTTAACAGCTTCTCCAAATTCTGTGATGTAATGCAGTTGCAACGATAAAATATTAAACATGTTGTAGGTTTTTGTTATCAGAATTTAATGCAAGTTCTTGTGAGTCTTCAACTGTATCTGTCATTAATAAACATGATAATTTATAATATTATAATATATCAATATACATTTTGTACACATGATAACAAATTTTAAGAACTGCTATCCTTTATCAAGATTTACAATTATTGCACTGATACAATATTACTAAATATAATACTTAATATCTGATTTTGATTTTAATAAAAAATATTAATATTAAAAAATCTATTGATACTGAATCAAAACATAAGTGACAAACAAGGTCTTTCTAACATGTGATGAAGTAGTAAACTTAACAATACGATAATAACATTTATAAATAGCTTCTCTTTACAATTTACTTCTTATTAATATTTGCGAATGTTATTATATTGATTCGCAATCATCGTGATCAGTTTCATTACATATACCTGTTGCATCATGTTGCATATTGGCTTCATTTATCTTAAAATCCACTTCATGACCCGATTATGATACACCTTCAGCTCCCAGGAAAGTTTCAGATGCACTTATTTATTACAAATATTAACATTTACCAGATGCGTTCGACATTACAAATCGGAGGCGTTCGTTTGCTCTTTTATCTTGAAAATCGTGAAGATAACCTTGAAGTTTTAAAAACATGATCTTGCAGACAATTTCTTGCTCATAATATGTGCATCTTCGAACTGAACAATTTTAAAATTAAAGTTACAGGAAATATTCTGTATATTATTAATTTTAGTTTGTCATAGTTGTAATTATAAACATAGATTATTTCGTTTTTGAATATTTCTTATTACACATACGCACGCACGCACGCACGTACGCACGAACCAAGTGTGTGTGCGTATGTGTGCGCGCGCGTGTGAGATTGTTTCCTAGATATATAATTACTTATTAATTAATGAAACAGAAGACTTTTTAATATATTTTATAAGCGGTTCTATCGATTGTAAGTGTGTTGAAACATATTTAATATGTTTTGCAAGAGTTTTTATTGTATTGTGGATGTCTGTATGAAAATGATATTCGTATCCACTAAGGAGGCTTGACTCGAAGCTTTTTGGTCGACCACGGCGTTTCGTCTCGGTCCCTCACTACTAAATTCATCAGTAAGGCGATGTAATGTGGGCCCTGCCTTAGACGCCTGGAATGAATTTAAATTGATGTTCTATTTAAAGGGAATATTCGCGTGGCTACGATGCTCGCGCAAATCCGAGCGAGTCCCGTTGGACCTCTGATGGCGAGCCACAGTGTTATAAACAGTATTATAAATTTAGAACAAGATCGCTAATATAAATATGTTAACTAGCAATAAATAAGAGAAGCACCAACCATATTGAGTCATGACGTCAGAAGCGAGACATGACATGTTAATTTTTATTACGCCATTTATAAATAAAGACCATTTAGATAAAACAAAATAATGAGATTGCTTTAAAACATTTGTAAAAATGGACGAAAACTATGTTTATCCCCGCTAATAGTCAATAAATAATTGTAAAAAGTCATAAAAGACAAGTGCAAGTGAAAATAAGCTACACATGCACATTAAATAAAAGCATTTAATATGCCTTTTATCACTTTTTACGATTATTTACTATCAATCTCATCATTTTATCCAAATTGTCTTTATTTATAAATGGCATGTAATCAAAATTAACGTGTCATTTTTCGCTTCTGACGTCACGATTCACTATGACTGTAGTAACTACTCAGGAGCTTTAAAAAATTTTTTTAAATTTTTAACGAAAAATTTAAATTTAAAAAAAATGAAAATATTTTTAATGAATATTTCTTATTGAAAATATTTGAGTACTATCTTCAAAAAAATATGAATATGATAAATTAATCATTCCATGATGAATGAAATATGTTGTATTCAGATCTTTTAAAGGTATGCAGCATTGTTGCAAAAATTAAAAAACAGTTTTATATTTTTTATTTATATTTTCCCGCCAGAAATATATTTAATATAATATTATTATATTTATACATAGGTACATTATCATAATTATGCGTACATTGTTTAAAAATATTTTATACAATATGTGTATTTAGAAGTAACTGATTTTTTAAATGAATTATAGTATAGAAAAATATATATATTTAATTTTTTTTCTAATTTTAATTATTACAATAATGTCGTTTGTGTTAAATAATTTTTGTGTGGCTCAGTTAATATGTTTGATATTTCTTACAGTGATTAAGTTTTTTTACGTAAACTTAATAATATATAAATTCTCATATTTAAACGGTTAGGTCACACTTTAAAAAGAATGTAAATTACCATTTTTTCTCCCCCCCCCTTCCTCCATAGGAAGGGAGGGAGGAAGGGTGCCTTATACCTTTAAAAAATCTGAATACGACATATTTCATTCATCATATTATAGAATGATTAATTCACAATAATTTTTTGAAGACAATATTTAAATATTTTCAATAAAAAACATTCATTAAAATTTTTATTTTTTTTTATTCAAATTTTTCGTCAAAAATCTAAACAAAATTTTTTTTAGATGTAATATGCTAAAGAGTGTGTCAAATTTTTCAGATTTTTTAATTTACACGATAGAAAAAATAAAAATAAAAAATTGAAATTTATGTTTTTCATTATTCCTGCATTATTCCTGCATAGATAAGTTAGATAAGTTAGCAGGTTGAAATTTAATGTAAAATAATCATTTATCGAGCTTAACAATGTGACATATTCAAAATTGGATTGGTTTAAGGGCATTTTTCGTATGCTTATTCGGCTAGACCCTTTGATGCTACTGACACACATAAAATCTATAAAAAATTAAACCTTAAACCTATAAAAAATTTATTGTAAAAAATATTACCTAGCTAGAATTTTATTGTGTATTTTCTCACTTCTGATATCATAATCTGAAATAGGATGTATATCAATTGCACACGAGCCAATTGTGCACAAACCAATCACAGCGCTAGAAAAAAAAAATAAAAACTTCTTACAGAGAAGTTGCGATTGACAGTCGACAATTGCAACAGTAAATCTGTTCGCGTTACTAGAAATCCCCGAATATTTTTACACTTAAAATAAGATAGATTGTATAATTGGGCATTGAAAAGAAAGAAAACAAAGATGCTGAGTGCACAAAGTGTTAGTAACGCGAACAAGTCTAATATGCAAGTGAAATAGCACCCTTGAAATAGTAGTGCTGAGTGAACAAGAATTTTAATATACAATAATTATGATAATTATTTATTAATTAACCTTTAATCGTGTTAAGTGGACTTTCGACATTCCATTCTTGAGTATAAATCATTACGGCGGTGTTGTTCGCACGGCATATTTTTCCTAATTTTTTCCAGTAGTGTGAGATCAATTTCTGCCATAGCTATACCCATTTTATCCGTACATTGTGCTATAATAGTACCCCAAGGATCCACAATCTGAAAATGAACGGATTACGCTTTTAATTATAATGAGAAATTTTTTAATTTTATCGAAAAAATAACTATACTATATACACAATTAAATGGTTCCGTTCATTGATGGAATATAAAAATTCAATTTTATAAATAGTGTGCCAAAAAGTAAGTTATTATATTTTTAAATAATTGAATCAATTTATTAAACAATATAATATATTATAGGACCGTATTTGTGATAACACAAATTATAGAAATCAAAATCTTTAAACGGTCTAACTGGATCTTAATGCTTGTATGATTCGTGTGTGAATTTATACACTACGTATGTAGTCCTTAGAAACGCACGCCGAAATGATTTTTCGGTCTTGAAACGTTAACTCTACTAAACTATCACAGTAATATCACGAATTAAATTGACTAGCAATTTAACAATTTTTTGATGCATCTTCAAAACAATCATAATAATGTTGAATGACATATAAAAATCTATAAATAATTAATTCTTATTTCGAAAAATATTACATCGGCCGGAATCCGTGCGCACGGAATGCAAGAGATCCGGGTTCGACTCCCGGTCGATGTAATATTTTGCTAACTGGATTAGAATCTTGCTATCGTATTGGTTATGATACTGGCACTAACAGCATCACAGCCATTACGGTGGCTTTTAATCCAACTAGCAATTCAGCAGTAAAACAAGCATCGTGTGCCGTCAGTTTAAGATAAATTGTAATAATTGCAGTGCATTCTATATTGATCAAAACTGGCAGAAAATTAAAAACTAGATTAGTCATACACTACAATCATACACACAGAAAAAATCACTACACGTTCGCTGATTACAGGTCATAGCTTGCATTGCAATCATGATCTCAATTGGAAAAATGTAAAAATTTTGGATGTAAAGAGGTCTTACAATAAACGACTTATGTTGAAAATGCTCCACATTAATTACCAACCTGATAGACTGAATTTGAAAATTGATACAGGTCTAAATCATGTTTATAGGGAGATACTGAATAAGTCATAACAGCATTGTTTATTGTTTGATTTGACCATCTCTGATTTTGATCATTGTACTTGACAGTCACATTTTGACCATTTAATATAAGACATGGCAATTTTTTTGTCGATCAATTTCTTAATTTTAATGTCTGACTATTGTTCAATATTCAGTGTATTCCTTGTATTATTAATTGATGAACTGTTGTTCAATGCAGATTGTGAGGTGAGCAACTTTTTAAGATCATAATTTCCATCCGATTTCTAACACAAGAAAAATATTTTCTTTTGATTTAGTTTTGAGATTGGCAATCCATCACGACTCAACTATGAAACTATAGTGTTACAACATTGGTTAATGTTGAGAATGATCGCATCTCACTGCATGACCCATGCAATTTGCATATGAAAAAGCATGAAATATGATTTTACATGAAATATGATTTTAATTGATTAATCAGTAGTATATTTGTTCCATTGCGATAATTCTTTATATATTTATCTATTGAAGATATGACTCAAAATAGAGCTGGAACGTTCAGAATTAATTAAATTTATATCTTTATTATTTTTTTGCGCAAATCAGTACTAGCGCTGACTCTTAATGTCTCCTGATGCTATATTTATTTTTATTCTATATACATAATTATTTACCATGGCATGACCCCAGCTTTTTCTTTTTTGGTTGTGCGCGCCAGTTTGTGCTGCAGCTATGACATAACATTGATTTTCTATTGCTCGTGCTCGCAGCATCACCTCCCAGTGTGCAGCGCCAGTTTCATATGTGAATGCTGATGGATATGTGAGAATCTGTGCTCCCATATTCCGCAATATTATCGATAACTCGGGAAACCGCATGTCGTAACACTGTATCGTTGTTAAGTTGTGTTTTGCTATATATTTATAATTTATATATGCAGCGATTCGATTGTATATCATAAATGAGATAAAAATTACAACAGTGAGCAAATTCACTAGAATACTTATAATTTCATTGGTCAACGCCTAGTGAATTTACTTACTTTTATAATTTTAACCCAATTTTAAGACAAATTTGTACAATTAATCCCACTTTAATCAACCATCTTCCAATATTTTTTTTTTTTTTAATTTTACAAAAAGTGTTTTAAACAAAAAGTTACGTTAAAGTTAAATTTAGTAAGAACATAAATAATGATAAAATTGTTAACAAAAATCAACTTTTTAATATCATATATGAAGATCATTTTTAAAAATGGAATGACATGATTGTTAATTTTAATTAAGGATACAATGCTAAGTGCGAGCTTGCCGATCGGTGTAGGCACAGGTGGCACAATTTCAATTCCTTTAAGCACATAGTCCGATTCCATCAGACGTACTCCGGTATCCTTATTATCCATGTCAAACAAGTGTAACTTTTTATACATGGCAACTAGTTCTCCTTCATTATTTATCAATACATGCGTATTGTAAATCTTTTCCACATTGTCTGACTGAAATGATGAATATCTTTATATATCATTGAAGAAATAATTATTTTATCTTTTGTAATTAAATGAATTAGTGTAAAATGAAAATTAAAGTATTTACAGCTTCGTGAATTCCACCTAAAGATAACCAGATATTATTCTTAATAGCGATTTCTTTATAAGCCGTCACTGTCAGTCCAGTTAAAGGTTCAGCCATGGTGACAATATCCTTTTTATTATCTGCCAAAAAATCGCAAGCTTCAGGAAAAAATGCTATCTGCAATATATATAAATTAGAAGAATAAAGTTAATGTCATGCAATTTAGAATATGAAACACTTTATTGTAAAGTATATACTGTGGCTGATCTGCGTTTGGCCTCAGCTGCTAATTCGCTCACAACTTGTAGATTTTTCACTTTGTCAGCTATTGATCGCATTTGGCATACTGCAATTAGTGGATGTATCATTGTGTTGATGTAACGTTTCGCTGGTTGTATGCTAAAATGCAAGAACTTGGTTATTTCATAAACATAATAAATGCATTCAGAATGACAACTGCTCACTGAGTGCTCAGTAAACGGTTGTTGTTCTGAACAGAATACACACAATAACAAATAAAAATAATTTTAATATAACAAAAAGAGCAATTTTTTTTGTAAATGAGTAATTCGCGAACGAACGAGTAAAATAAACGAATCTTTTACATCAACTAGATGAACTTATTCACAATTCTCAAACGACGTCAAATTGAATTACTTAATCGACGAGCGACAATTGCCAAAACTACTTTCACAGTTTCTGACGAACATAAGTAAACACGCAGTGAAATATACGTAATCTAACTTTTTTTTATTCTGTACAATATTTAAATATAAGTACTTCTTTCTAATAGCATATTCAACCAGAGTGGATTTGTACCAATCTAGGTTGGATTAATGACATTGTATGCTCTCCTTTGATGGAATATGTAACATCAACCAACAGTAGAATATTATCCAATCTAAATGAGAGCAAATCCATTCTCTTGGGTCGAAAATGCTATAAGTAAAAGTGGTAATTATACAATTTAGACCAATCACTCAAAATCAATAAAATTAATAAAATTAGATTTATTCGCCGCGTTTTTTCATGAAATAAAAGAATCTGGCAGAAAAAAAGTATCGCTCTGCCCTGCGAAATACTGAGCGTTAAAGTTAATTGAAGTGTTACTTTACTAAGTGTTAATTACGTAACTCTTCGCAGAGCAGTCCTGGACTTTTTTCAGCCAGATTCTTTGAATGATCCTAATTTCGAAATCGGAGGTAGCTCTTCTGAAGAATTACCGGTCTGATTTGGTCTCTGTGACAGATTTCCTAACCTCAATAGTTACCAACTTTAATGCTCAATATCTCGGTTCGGGGGACAAAGCGACACTTTTTTTCTGCCAGATTCTTTCACTTTAAAAAACGTGTCGAATAAGCCTAATTTCATTGATTTTTAAGATAGTTGTGCTAAACCGTATAATTACCGTAAAAATAGTTGCTCGTACACTTTTGTACAATTCATCATCAAAAAGCAAAGCTAGATTAGAGATCACATGATTCATTTAATCAGAGTCTGACCCTGATAGAATAATAAAGGGGTGTGGTCAAGTTGCCACTACGAATGTTTCGAAGCATTTGATTAACCAATCGGAAGAATGAATTTTGACCAATCAAAGAATGCTTCGAAGCATTTATAGTGGTAACTCGACTGCACCCAAGTAGAGAGTCTGTAATCAGAGTGGCGCCATACGAGAAGATGACGTCATATTTTAGCGAAATTCTGCGAGAAAGAGATATACGGTCTCAGTCTATCCAACAAACAGTGTGTTGGATAGACTGAGACCGTATATCTCTTTCTCTCTCGCAGAATTTCGCTAAAATATGACGTCATCCTCTCGTATGGCGCCACTCTAATTACAGGCTCTCTACACCCAAGGAGATCGGATATGGTCAATGTTGCAACCACTTTGAAGCGTTTTTTAATTGATCAGTTTGTAAAATTCTTTCGTCTGGTCCATCAAACGCTTCAAAGTATTTGTAGCAAGACTTTGACCACAGCCCATGGCTCCTGCACACAGAACGCGGCAATGCTCGCCGCGCGACGGAAATTGGCGACAGCCAATCAACGTCTTGCTTGCTTGGAAGTAATAGATACATAATTTCCATCGCGCGATAAAAAAAGTTGAACTCAATCCAACTTTTGCCACGCGGCGGAACTAATATTACATCATCTCTAGAAGTTTTGCATGGTAAGGCCGACTTAAGAACATAGAATTATTGGTTAGTGCGATAACTTCCGCCGTGCGGCAAGCTTTATCGCGTTTTGTGTGTAAGAGCCATTAGAGCATGCGACGCGAATAAATCTTATAGGGTGTTTTCTATTTGATAACACAAATCGACACAAATGTTGTTCTAGCTTTATGTGCCTTCCAACAAGCGACACGAAGCGACACAATGACCAACTTTGTTTAACATTGACAAATAACAAGGATGTAATGATCCATTATGTCATTTGTGTCGCTTATTGGAAGGCATACTTTGTCACTGGCCTAGTTTACATTGAGAGAGTTCTATCCAGGTTAGAATGCAAAAACCAACCAACTGCAGTCGAGCATTTCCCTGTTAAGCGAGGAGCACAAACTCTTACATAATGCATAACACGTAATGCATAAAAAAATAAACCAATTGAAGTCCTCCATTTCCTTCCTTTCCATGATATAAAGAACGATTGATTGAATTGAATAAAGAACAGAGAATAAGGCCCGTATTCAGAATGCGCTTACAACGATGTTAGCGCGCTAATATGCTATAATTTACGTTACGCATATAGAATTTTAGAGATAAAAGCGCGTTCTGAATACGGGCCTAAGAATTTCAATCTCAAAAATGGTGTATTCCACAATACATGATTTCTGATAGGTTGAAATTCTAAGGGTGAAATCACACGGTCCGGAATAGGGCTGCGAAATACAGAATGCGTTATTGAAGCAACCAATCAGCACTATTCCGCACTTTTCCATCATGCAAGTTTTGTGTGCTATGTTCACATGATGCGTCAAAGATATATCCAGCATAAATATAATTTAAAAATTACTAACTTCATGTTAATATTGGATCATCTAAAAAGTATCCGCGGTTTTTTGTCACTAGATGTGTATTGATGGTCATATATCTAGTGATAAAGTACCGCGGATACTTTTAGATGACTCAATAATTTGCTTATTAAAATGAAATATAATTTTTCAAATTGTAAAAACAATTATCACTGTTGTAATATTTAATGTTTTACAATTAATATTTATAATCTCATAACAATTTTTTGAACTGCTTTAACGCATTTATTATCATTTTTCCTCATCGTGTGAATATAGCATACAAAACTGGTGTGATGAAAAAGTGCGGAAAAGAGCATACTGAAATCGCACGTAATGCATTGTTTTTTTGACTTTGGTATTTATGCACTCAGATTTTGTCATTTTGCTTCATTCGTCTCGACATTACGCAATTCCATCATATCAATCAACATCAAATTATTTTAACCTCTCAAAATATGACGGTTTATTACAATAACGCAATCGCTATTCCGCAATCAAATATGGAATAGCGCTGAGTGGTTATTTCAATGACGCAGTCCTATTCCGCACTGTGTGATTTCACCTTTAGGATGCGGAAAAGGACTGCGGAATAGAGAATTCAATTAGTGCTATTCGGAATAACGCAGAATAACGCTGATTGGCTTTTATGACGCATTCCCTATACCGCAGTCGTTTTTCACATCGTGTGATTTTACCCTTACATTCCGACTCGGATCGAACCCTCGGTGTAAACTCTCGGTTAGGCTTATATTGTGGCAACACTGTTCTTTTATCGACCATTGTCGATTCACATGTCTCTTGGTCAAATTGTCAACGATTGTCAAAGATTTCATCTGCTTTGTGTCACATTTCGTAGATTTTTTGTGACTGTATCGAGGACAAGTTAATTACGTCGAAATGCTTAATCACGTGTTGCGACCGATCACTCGTAACTTTATCAGAAGTGGTGAGATTTTTCTTATTTTAGAGCCATTCGTGTTAATCCGTGATACAATCGATTCTATATCTTACATAATGTTTGCTATTATGTATGCCTGCTAAAGGTTATTCTGTGTAAATCCGTATAATAATAATAAATATAAAAATCCTTTGCGCTTATCTTAATGATAAATTCTTTAATTAATGTTTTCTTACCAATTACTTTCGACTGTCAATTACTTTAGACTTGTGAATTTATGAAAATAATCAATTGTGAATTAAATAAGAAAATGCTCTTGTAAAAGTACAGTAATTTATCATAAAATGTATTCTTTACCTCAACATTAGACTTTATAGTTTCTGATTTTCTATGATATAACTTCGACTTAATGTAATGTATTCGAATATTTAACAGTAGCATTTTATCTAAAGCAGATATTTCAAATTGATACAAGAAATTTTTTATTTTAATTAGGATTGTTGTTAGATCTGTTTGCATTGCTTGCACTTTTTGTATTCAGCATCTTTGCTTTTTCTCTTTTCAATGCCTAAGTATATTTATCTCTATTTTAAGTTAAAAAATTTTGGAGGATTTCAAGCAACATGAACAGGCCTAATATTGAAATTGGAATTATCTTTGCAAAAATATATAAATCAGAAATAATCTATAAATTGCATATAAATTAAGAATAAGAAAAATAATATTTCATCTGAACATATATTTTTCATTGTAAAGGCAGTCGTTCCTCCAGCTCAAAAGCCGTGGATGATATTAAATTGCCAACAGTAAATGACATACCTGGACCATGTGGACCATGGAAAGAACATTATGACGCAAGACAGAAAGTTTACAATACTCAATTAATTGCTGGTGTTGGTATACTAATTGGTAGCATAGCTTATGTATGTATCAAATTTATGTTACTTCAGATAATATTAACTATATCAGATTATAAAATCTCATTCTTATAATGCATGTCTCTTGATATATTGATCAGAGAAAACATTTCTTTGTATTTTTTAAGGTAATTATTTATTATAGAATAACCTCTTCCCCACCTCAAATCTTAATAAAAATACACTTATTCGACGTGTTTTCACTCAAATCGAAATAATCTGATAAAAAAACGCGGTTGGCCTCATGATTCGAGTTATTAAGCGTTAAAGTTGAAGATTTTAGAGGTTAAGCTATCTGTCATTCCGACTCAATATAGCGTTATGTAAACGTTCTGCATTAATTATACAAATTTACTGCTTTAAAAACACAAATTCATTGCTTTACAAACACAAATTCATTGCTTTACAAATATAAATTCACTGCTTTAAGCACACAAATTCTTTGCATTAGCAGTGAATTTACGTTTGTGAAGCAAAGAATTTATGTTTTTAAAGCAGTGAATTTATGTAATTAATGCAGAACGTGTGTGTGTATATATATATATATATATATAT